GTTGCATTAAAGATGTCTCCTTTCGCCCTCTGACTACAAGAGTTTTGTGAAGAATTCAAGCAAAACTGGGTGGAGAGTTATTTTGAACCCAGGCTCTAGTATTCTGAGAGGGGGAAGAAGGAGAAAACTTTCTGAACACTATGCATAACTACAGACATTTTGAGAATCTTTCCCCTTGATATTTTGTTTTACTTTTCTGTACTTCACAGCCCAGATCACTGTAACCTTTCCTTTAGAGGAGGTCTCTAGTCACATATTCATTTTGGTTGTCCTTTTGTATACCTTTTCCAGCAGTATGATACCCTCTTTCCAATGTGATAAGGTTTTCTGACACTGGCAGCTTTATTTTCAGACCCTGCCATAGAATTTGCCTTTTTCACAGCTGTTTCAGAATAGGTTTTTGTGGGTTTGGGGGGCTGTGAGGCCATGTTTTAGAAGAATGTATTCCTGACTTTTCACCTGCCTCTGTGGATGGCATCTTCAGAGATTCTCTGAAGATGCCAGTCACAGATGCAGACAAAACATCAGGAATACATTCTTCGGCCCCACAGCCCGCAAAAGCCACAAAAACCTATGGAGGCCAGATGTGAAAGTCCAGATGTGAAAGTCTTCAACTTCACATGTTCCAGAATAGCTCCAAGTTACCCTTCCTTGTCATTTACCACCAACTAATCTCCCACCAATTTATGAAGGGATATATATATATATATCTCCCTTCATAAATATTGCCCCAGAAGAGCTAGATTCAGCCCCAGAGTTTGAGGAGTCACATCCCAGGGAGTAAGCCTATCCAAATGCAATAGGACAAACCTCTGAGTAAACATGCATTGGATTGCATTGTATATATACACAATACTCAGGCGTTCTTACCAACCTCTTCTCATATAAGCCAAGAATGGAGATATAAAAGGGCTCAACACATTTCTTACTGATTTTTCCCTCCTTTGTGGTCTGGTGTTTCTGGGTCCCAACCGATGTGGCTCCTGTGATGTCTTGTGAATTTGGCCAGATTAATCTTTCATCTGCTATGATTTGCTTTCTCACAAGGAGGACAGGAGTCAAGGGCTGCCCATACAGCCTGTTAGACTTCCTCAGAAAGATAGAGCAAACCCTTGCCCTTTCTGCCTCTGTTTTCACTGGCAAGAGGAGACAGGGAGGAGTATGCTCCTGTTTGATCTCCATCTTTTTGCATCCAGTAGTAAACACTGCAGCTATTAGGAAGGCTGCCCTGTGCTTTATAGCAGCAAATCATCACTCTGTATTGTAGGGAGCTTCTGTTTAGAAGATGGGCACTGTCAACCAGAGCAGAACTGCTGCTATAAGGTCAACAGAGGTTTCCCCTGACACTACTGAAGTTCAAATGTTAGCTTAGGTTTTCCCTCTGCCTATAATGCTGCTCAGTTTATGGAAAGTGGAGTGGAGCCTATCAGAATCGGAGGCAGCCTTGCGGGGGGCTAATGTTTCCACTGGATTCTTGCTGGAAGATTAATTTAATCTCATGATCATGGTATAGGGAACTGAGATATGGCAACAATATTATTATAATCAGAAAAGTGTCAAGCAATTCTCCTTCTTAAGTGTCAATAAGGAGTCACTTCAGATGTTACAAATGTCCTACAAGTCACATTTCAGTGCGTGGGGAAAGCATGCTGGGAGTGCATATTTGTATTACACATTCATAGCAGTTTGATACCATTTTAATTACCACGACTGTATCCTGTGGCTTCCTAGGATTTTGTAGCTTGGTGAGATACTTAAAATTTCTCTCCTTAAAGAGCTCCAATGTGCTTCTCTGAACTACATCACTAGGATTTCATGGAAGGAAATTCAAGCCAGACTACAAATCCCAGCATTCAGCAGAATTGGTGTCATGACACTTTAAGTGGTATCTACTTGCCATAACTGTGTGATGGAGATACACTCTGTATATTACTTGCCATGTGTGTCAACTATGCATTCATCTTTTACTACTTGTACATGTGGCTGGTACACACATGAGAGTTTTAAGTGCTGTTGTTGTAAATTTAAAAAAAATTGCATCCTTTCCTCCCACCCATCATATGTATGAATTATACACTACACTTGAAATGACAGTGTGATGAAAATGAATCATGTGTAGGCAATGGAAAAGCAGATGAATTCTTTACCATTTAAACCAGGGCAAATTGTGACCTTCCTGAGACTGCAGCTCCTCTTAGTCATAGCCAGTAAAATCAATGGTGAAGACAACTAGGAGTTGCAGTCCAACAACAGCTAGAGGGCTACAAGTTGTCCAGCTCTGGTTTAAATCAACATATGTGTCTTTGGTAATATAGCTGGAAAAGAACATTGAGGGCTTGCCAAATGAATACATTGGCAGCATGTTTCGCCAAAGGCAAATACAGTAGTTCATTTGATATAGAGGCAATGAATACACCAGTTGGTAGAAGGCTTAACAGATTTATTAACTTAGCAGGCATGATCTATAGATGTTAATAAAAACAATTCCTGTACCCTTCATGTTATACAACCAAATCCCCATACATAAAGCAAACAGCTCCCACAAAACAAACTCATGACTTCATTCAATATAGGAGCCCTGGAGAAGCAAGATGCCCCTCTGCTACCAATGTACAATGCCCTGTTAGTCCTTTTGATCTGCACCAAATTCACCCAAGGCAAGTCCATGGGACTTTATATTGGATAATGCCACTTTGATCTGATACATCTGCTCTCCACTGGCTGTTTGCCTCTGGATATTTGCACCTGTTTTTATTTGATAAATTCGAATGAGCTAATTAATGGTAGCTGTTCTAATCACTGGGACTGCATCTACACTGTAGAAACAATGCAATTTGACACCACTTTAAGTGCTACAGCACTATCCTATGGAATAATGGAATGTGCGGTAGGTATGTGAGGAACCAAAGAGTGCTGGTTCTTCACATGCCTACACATCCCAGGATTCTGTAGAATGGAACCATGGTAGTTAAAATGGTGTCAAAACTGCCTTATTACTACAGTGTAGATGCACCTTGAAAGTCAATGCAGTGTAGTAGTTTGAGTGTTGGACTATGATTTTGGAGACTAGGTTTTGATTCCCAGCACATCCATGAAACCCACTGGGTGACCTTTGGCAAGTTACATGCTCTCAGCTTCAGGGGAAAGAAATGGCAAACCCTCTGAATAAATCTTGCCAAGAAACCCCATCATATCTTTGCTTTAGGGTCACCATAAGTCAGAAACAACTTGAAAGCACACAACAACAACCATAAGATGCACCCTAAGTCTCTATGTTTACATTTAACTAGGCAGAAATGAATAATTGTTAACAATTAAAAAATTCCTGTTAGCAATTAACAAGTAAGTTTTAATGATAATTCCCTCTCTTCCATGGCTGTACCAGCCTTAAATTAAAGGCAAACATGAATAAGAATCAAGAGTATATAAACTCACTATTAGCCAAAGCCAATACTGCATAAGCTTCTGGGAGAAAATAGGCCAAATGGCCAACATCATGAATCAATTGACACATCATCCTAATAGTCCTCATACGAAGTCTCTCCAGTAAATTTTCCCCTAATGACTGATAATTTTTCAAATCACAAAATGTTCCAAATTCATTGTTAACATATCTAGCCACTGGATTTTCTTTTAAACAGATTTCTCTTAAACAAAAGACAACAACATCTGTATTTCTGAATTGTATTTCAAGTGTCCAAAATTCTCTGAGTACTTGAACTCAGTAATTCTTGAGAAGTCTTGCAACCAAACTGGTGCTATTATACCTGTCACAGGAAGGTGAACTTGGTTTTAGAGGGGGGGAAAGACCAACCTAACTACAGTGCTTCCTTACTTACCAGCCCACCAGCATTTTGACCTCAATGCATTGTACTGGAAAATCCAGATGTTTTGGGTGGGTTTTTTTTAAGTTCTCTCTGATAGAAATCTGGTGGAACAGCCCACAGGCAGAAGGAAGTCTCCATCTGAGGCAGAGAAGCAACACCCTAGTCTCTGCTTTATTTTTGGAGGTGGAATTTTAACAAGAGGCTGCTTCCCAAGAATCCTCCTTAGCACAGATGCAGGCAGCTGAAAGGATATGGCAGATGACAACTTGAGAGTTTGCACAGGGGTCCCCCTGCTGTTAGTGCAGAATTATTATTTTCAAAAGCACAGACACTCACAGACACATATCCAACCATTGGCATAGATGTTCAGCTTTTCACTTTTGCAGCAGGAGGTGAGGCTGGTTCCTAGAAATCCTCCTCTTGCTTCTCACAGGGAGTATTAATAGCAGAACCTGATCTTCTTTTCATCATCTTGTATCAAGCAAAAGCTATTTGGCCCTCTTATTTCCTCTTTGATGTTTGCTATTTGGATTTATGGTAAGTTTGAGCAAGGATTTTAAAGTTTGCAATCAGAATTGGGGCAGCCTCCCCTTTTTTACAATTCTCAGAATCCTGCAAGCAGCCTGACCAGTGGGATATTATGGGAGCTATAATTATCTT